AGGGGAAAACCCTCTATGAGATGGATAGATTCAGTGACTGGGGTATTCAGGATGGGTGTGTCAGAGGCAGTGAGATTGGCACAGGATAGAGCAGGATTTAGGGCTGTTGTACAGGATTTAGGGCTGTTGTACATAGGGTTGCTATGAGTCTCAGGTGACTCTACGGCACATAATAACAACAACTACAGTTTGTATTCTGTGGCATTCATTTGATTTATCCATTCACCAGTTAATGAGTATTTGGATTGTTTCTACTTTTTTGGCTATTACAAAATGAATATGATTGTAAAAAAATTTACATATAAGTATGCAGGCATAAGCAAACTATTGAATTATTTTCTCAAAGTGATTATATCATTTTACATTTCTGTTAGTGTTTGGTTTTTTTCACATCTTCTTCAACACTTTCCTTTTTGGTTTTCTAACTATATTCGTTCTAGTAAGTATAGCAATACCAGTAGCTCTAATGGTGTAGTCCATAGGCTTTTACACTGCTCTTCAAAAGGTCTTGAATAACTAGTGGTTTGAATCCACTAACTGTTCCTCCATAGAAAAATAGGCACTATTTGCCTGTAAGATATATAGCCTTGGAAACTGATGGAGGGTTGTCATGGCTTTAATTTACATTTCAATAGGAACTCTGGGGACATAGTTTATTACATGTTGAGCTGCTAACTAAAAGAGCACCTTTTCAAATCTACTACTGCTCCAAAGGAGAAAGATGACTGGTCTCTTCCTAAAAAGATCAAAAGCCTTAGAAACCCAGTGAAGAATCCCCAAGAGCCTGAAGGGCTTGACAGCAGTGGGGTTTGGAATATAATGAGTAGTGATATTGAGCATCTTTTTATTCAAATCTTTTTATATAAGATTGGATGCATTTTCTTACTTGTACAAGACGTGTTTTTATTTAGTCTAGACCTAGACAACAAACCCTTTATCGAATAAAAGATTTATAAATCTTTTAATCCACATCTGTGGCTTAATTTTATTTTCTATTTGACATTTTTAAAAGAGAGCTTATTTTAGAAGAGGGAGCATAAAAGCACAAAGTAGAAAGGGCTCTGAATATTTTAAGTCATCACTAAAGTGTAAAAAACAGTGTTTGTTATTAAGGAAAACTACCTCACCAAGTGTATAACATAGAGTACTAGGATTTATTTGAAGTCTGTAGAAGAAAGCATATCCTTTTATCAATCTCTACATTTTAAGCATAAATATACCGTTTTCTTATGACAGAGCAATTTGTATATATAAATTTATAAACATGAAAGTCTGGCTTTAAGTTTTCCGGAAACTTTCATGGCTATCTAAAGTTCAGCTAAAAAGGAGATAATTAATGATGAGCTTTCTGAATCACCATATTTTAGCTTTTGCAATAAGAATGAACCAAAGGATCTCTAACCTTAAGCCTACACCAAGTGTATTGATTGTGGATCTTGTATCATTTATATAGATCTTTGCAATTTATGGAGTTATTTTAAAGATAATATCTCTTCTGATTTCGCATAGATACCCTCGGTGGAGGTCCTCCCTTTATATACTAAGAAGTGGAGGCTTGGAGGGGACACTTTGGCTTAAGACCACCTGGAAAGTGATAGATCTAGATTTAAACTTGTTTCCTAATCCAATATAGTAGTGGGAGATTTTTCTTCAGGTTAAAGCCCTACAAAAATCTGTGGTTGATTACAGATTTCAGTGTGAGTAATTTTTAAACCCTAAGGGGTAAACAGAATGTGGGACCAGAACCTTGAGTAAATTTATGAAAGGTTAATAGATAACTTTTATGTCTGCTAAAAACAAAAAACCCATCATGCTAAATAAAAAGACTTAAAAGTATTTTATAATATATAGATACTGCTCAGATTCTATTTTACTCATTTTTCCTCTATGAGCGAATTTTTGTCTTCTCAATTTCTTTTACATATTAGTAAGTTTGCATTCATTGGAGGTATTAGCAGAAGTAAGCATCTTTTCCTCTTGGCCATGGCCCTCGATGTTTTTCTTTTAATATGCAATGTATTTAGTTATGCCTTCTTAGTCCTGGATGTTTGTAGTCAGTAGAACTTGAAGCCCTCTGTTTAGACTAGTTGGTATAACTTGGATTTAAATATTATTCAATAAGACCTACACATTAATTTAAAAAACTGCTAAACCACAGGAAGCTAGCTTATCCTGGAGAGGGTTAAACCAAGCTGTTCCTTGGAGGCAAGGATTCTGGGGCTTCACCCGACATACATTGGACATGTAACGAGGGACAGGTCCTTGGAGAGGTACATCATGCTTGGGAGGGTGGAGGGATGGCGCAAGAGTGGAAGACCCTCTATGAAGTGGATTGATTTAGTGACTGGGGTAATCGGGGTAGGTGTATCAGAGACAGTGGGATTGGCATAGGACAGAGCAGGGTTTAGGGCTGTTGTACATAGGGTCGCTATGAGTCGCAAGCGACTCGACGGCACATAACAACAACAACAACAACTCTTTCATTGGTAAAGTCTCCTGTCAGAGACCTCTCCAAAGTACTGCAGAGTAACATCCGTCTGGAGACTAAGGTGCACCTAATACAAGCCATTGTCTTTGCAATTACTTGCTATACATCAGAGAGCTGGACAATGACTAGGGCTGATAGGAGTGTTGAAGTCTTTGAGCTGTGGTGCTGGAAAAGAATATTGGATATACCATAGACTGCCAGGAGACCAAACAAGTTCGTCCTGGAGAGGGTGAAGCCAAGCCTGCTCGCCGGAGGCAAGAATTCTGAAGTTTCATCTGACAAACTTTGGACTTGTTGCAGGGCAGGACCAGTCCTTGGAGAGGGACATCATGCTTGGGAGATTGGAGGGACAGCACAGGAGAGGAAGACCCTCAATGAGGTGGATTGATTCAGTCACTGGGGTAATGGAGATAGTCGTGTCGGAGACAAGAAGATTGGCAAGGGATAGAGCAGGATTTAGGGCTGTTGTACATAGGGTTGCTATGAGTTTCAGGCGACTCGATGGCACATAACAACAACAACTCTCTTTCATCAATTTCAATATTATAGAAAGGCTTCAGGCCTTTTGTTCATAGGGTCACTATGAGTTTTGCTCACCTCGAAGGCAATCAATAACAACAACTCTCTTTCAACTTCTTTTCTTTCTCTTAAATCATCATCACAGTGTTTTTCCCCTTGCTCTGCCACATTGCCTTTTCTCAATATCTTTATCCTTTTTTATCTAAATAAAAACTTCTAGTTTGCTAATATTTCAATAAAATTTTTTTCAGGGCATTTAAAAATATATACAAAAGCAAATTTACATATATTGTAATTTTAAGAGAGGAACTTCTTGAGAGGGATTACTGAAATCTTTCCTCTAAGTCAAGCTATTTTTCTCAGAGAGTTCTCCTTAATGAAAGTAAATATATCTTAGACCAGTATCTAGGGGTATAGTCATTTTTATATGTGTTTCTTGTAATAATTTTTATATGTCTTTCTAGTAATAATTTGCTAGTAATTCTGCTTTGTGTTTATGTTTTGTGTTGACAGATGCAGATGAAACTAATGGAAATGAAAGAGCTGGATAACCATAATCATCAGTTAAATTGGTGTAGTAGTCCACAAAACGTTCTTGTAAATGGTGCTGCAGATTATTGCAGCCTCAGCACCAGCAGCAGTGAAACAGCCAACCTTAATGAGCAGGCTGAAGGCCAGAACAACTTAGAATCTGAGCCCATACACCAGGAATCTCCAGTGAGTTGAATAGCTTCAAAAACTTTGGTTTTTTAGAGAACATTCAGCTCAATATTTTGTAGAAACTTAATAGAACTGTAGCCTTGTTATATCTACAGATAATTGAGAATTTGTTTTTAGAGACAGAATTAGTACTTATCTACCAGTGTGTGCTAGTTTTAACTGAGGTAAAAAGGTCATTTTAACTGATTTATTTCCTATGGAAAATGTTTTTAATAACAGTAGCTCTGTCACTAGTAAACTTTAGTACTTTAATCCACGGCCCAAAGTAATTCTTTATTACATAACATTTGGGACATTGGTTTACCAATTGATTTTAAAGAGCACCAATTATGTATGGATATACTAGATGTGCAACAGCTATGGAGACAAAATTCATTTAACTCTGTCTTCAAGCAGTGATCTAATAATGTAATGCTGTATTAAAGGGCTGTGATAAGGAAAGTATAGGCTATTCTGGAGAGTTGGAGACTAGTTAGGACAGAAATTTTGAAGGAAACACTTTGCAAGTGATCTTTCACAAGGAAGAAGGGAGTAAACAAAGAGGGAGTATGTTCCTGGCAGAGAAACAACATTTACAGAAGTATGGGAGAGATGAGGGCAAATATGCTCTACAGAACTTTGAGCAATTTTCAAAGCTTATCTTGTGATGATAGACGGGAATGTTGGGAGGAGATTAGACTGCTCTCTCTTGGGGTTATCTCACTATCTCTGATGCTTTATCAGATCCAGTTAGGAAGTCTGTGTACCCTCCAAACTTGCCGAACTCTAGTTTGTTTCTGGAATGGAAATACAGTGCGTGCGTGCGCGTGTGTGTGTGTGTGTGTGTGTATGTGTATGTGTCTACACACACACACACACACACTAAACCTCAATTCAGTGATGATTGTTATTCATACAAGGCAAGCACTTTAGGATGGAAAATGTGAGAGGTTTGGATGAATCTTAATGCATTGAGATTCTTATCCATTGAGTAGCCATTAGATCTTATCCAATTAAATATTTATCAAAGAATTTTAAGTAAAAAGTGACACACTTATATTGACCTTTTAAAAAATGTGGAAAATGGATGTGAAGATGATGAGGAAGTGAAACATGTAGGAAAGAAATATGACTCTGTTAGAGTTGATATCTGACTCTCAGCCTTAACGTATGTCTGAAAAGAAAGTGCATAAGGAAAACCTGAAGGTTTCTGGCTTCTTTGACTTCAGTGTCTGGAGAGAATTTTCCTAAGAAATCATTCATTCCCTATATTCTATTTTGGAGGGTTTTGTGATTATTGCTGGTTTTTAAAATAATTTTTGGTTGATCTTTGTCAGTTTCCTTTGCCAAATAGAAACAAAATTTAAGTCCCGTAGCTTAATATTTTGTAGGCAAGAAACAGTCCTGAAATATCACCTACCAGTATGACTGATGAAAAGGAAATGGTTACTGCAGCTGTTGAAGAAAAAGCTTGTCCTGAATTTAACAGTGAGAAACAGTCAAAAGAGGTGAGAATAATTTTGTATTTAAATGTTCCTATCACTGGTTTCCAGGATAAGAAAAGATTAAAAAAAAGTGTCAAATATGTCTTCTGACTGTGAAAATATTTGTTAAACTATATTCAATTTCTTTTTCAAAATAGGCACATTAATTTGTTCTGTGACCTTATTTTAAAATGCTAACTTTTAAAACATTTTTTACATTACTTTTTAGGAAGATAAGCTTTGTTTTAAAATTTAATTTACCTAGGTTTAAAATATTTTTAACATTATCTTTTAGGAAGATCCATTTGATGTAGAATCAAACTCACTGACAGATCCAGTTGCAGATACAAATTTGGATTTCTTCCAGTCTGATCCTTTTGTTGGAAGTAAGTACTCTTATTTTTAGATCATTGAGTTATATAAAATACATCTTTATAGAAAACCTTATTCAATGTAAGAGTAGGGTTTGTTTTACAAGCCTACTTGTTTTAATGATAGCAAAGAGTGAAGGTTGATGTGCTCAAATTTACTAATATCAGAGCTATTGTACATAAGATCGCTATGAGTTACAGATGACTGGACAACATCCTAAACCCTAGAAATAAGCGTTTTATAGTATATATTAAAGTTTGTATGGTTTCATCATAATTGTATACAGAGTAAATAATCTGAAAGCTGGATTAGATGAAGAAAAATACAGCATCAGAATTGAGGAAAACTTATTAATAACCTGCATATAAGCAAATGCCACACCTGGCTTGCTGAAAGTTAAAACGACTTGAAACTTTTAGTGATGAATGTCAAGGCTGCAGCCTTCAGTATCAATCATACCTCACAGTAAATAGATGTCCTCACATGTAGACCAATAAGCCACATTATGCTAAACGGAGAAAAAGATTGATGTTGTTAAGGACTTTATTAGTTCCACAACCATTGCCCATGGAAGCAGCAGTCAAAATGTAAACAATATGTTGTATTGGATAAACCTACTGCAAAGACCACTTTTAATTGTTAAGATGCCACTTTAAGGACTGAGGTGTGTGCCTATGATATTTTCAGTAGCCTCATCTGCATGGAAAAACTTGGCAGTTGATAAGGAGAATGAATGCCTTTCAATCATAGTGATGGTGAAAAAGTTATATATTATTTGTCCCTTGGGCTTCCTGGAGAATGAATAAATCTGTCATGGAAGAAGTATATCTAAGAAGTTTCTTAGAAGGGAGGATGACAAGACTATGTCTTATGTGACTTGTTATTAACTGAGACCAGTCCTCAGGGAAGTACAGTATGCTTGGTAAAATAGAGGGTCAGTGAAAAAGAGGAAAAAACCCTCAGTGAAATGGACTGTACATAGTGATTATTAGAGTCGGCTCAAACATATCAAAAACTGTGAAGTTGGTACCGGACCTGGTATTGTTTTCTTGTACATCAGGATGCTTTGAGTTGGAGGTAACTCAAGTACACCTTACCATGCCAACAAGAAGAGCCCTTTGAGTATGAGTGTGTTTCTTCTTCAAGACAGAGCCAAAGGAAAGAGTTGTTATGGAGCAGAAAAGGAGGCTGAACAGCTTCAAGTAAGCCAGCAATTAGTCCTTAAAAATGCAATACCATTCTATTTTTTTTAAAAAAAAAAAGTAAGTTATGAAAGAGTTCAGAATCCGATTCCCTACCCTTCAAACTGGCTGTGATGTTTCTGAAGAGAGATAAAATTTTATAAGTTATCATCTGTCATTGTCAACTATGTTAAATACCACTTCTCTGAAAACCCTTTGAACAATAGAGGAACAAAGATAGTTACAGTGTTAGAAGTAAAGCCCATAATGGAAATCAGTCAAAATGAAGAGAAACAGCTGCAAGCATCATTCAATTGTTAGAACATGGAATGTAGAAAGTATAAATGTTGGAAAACTAGAAGTTGTCAAAGATGAACTGGATTAGCTATGGCCACTTTGAATCAGACAATTACATGGTATACTATACCAGGAATGAAAAACAGGAAGAAGAGTGTTGAATATATAGTTAAAAAGACAATTTCAAATTCCATCCTGAAGTACAGTACCCCTGAGTCATATCATCCATATGCCTACAAAGAAGATCTGTTAATACGAGTATTTTTCAAGTATAAACACCAATAGCTAAAGCTAAAAAAGGAGGAAATTGATTTTTCCAAACTTTGCAGTCTGAAATTGACCAAATGTGGAATCACAATGCACTAATAATAGTTGGTGACTGGAATGCAAGAGTTGGAAACACTGAGAAAGGAAAGGTAATTGCAAAGTACAGTCTTGGTGTTGGAAATAAGGCCGTAACTAGAATGATCAAACTTTCTAGGTTCAAGGATTAATTCATTGTAAATACCTTTTTTAAAAAATGCAGGTGACACTGTACACATGGACCTCACCTGATGGGCTACATAGGAAACAGATTAACTACATCTGTGGAAGGAATTGGAGAAGCTCAGTATCAGCAGTCAAAACTAGGTCAAGAAAAAAAAAAAAAAAAAACTAGGTCAAGAACTGACTGGAATAGACCATCAGTTACTCATATGCAAGTTCAAATTGAGACCGAAGAAAATTATTACAAGTCCATGAGAACTAAAATATTATATCTATCCCACTTGGATTTAAAAATCATTTTAAGAATAGGTCTGAAGCATTGAACACCAGTGATTGAAGACCAGATGAGTTATGAGATGGCATCAAAGATAATGTCCATGTAGACAGCAAAAGTTGATTACAAAACCATAGGAGAAAGAAAAAACAAAAGATGTGAAGAGAGATTCTGAAAATTGCACGAGATAGCGTTAATATCAAAATACTGCTGAAGATAATTAAAAAACAGCTTGACAGTACATAAAACAGGAAACTGCCAGATGTTTAAGCTAGATTCAGAAGAAGCTGTGGTATCAGGGACATCACTGCTGATATACATGGATCCTGGCTGAAAGTGGAAAATAAGAATATCTATTTGTGCTTTATTCACTACAGAAAGGCATTTTACTGTGTGGATAACAAATTATGTCTAACATTGAGAAGAACAGGAATCCAGAAAACATAATTGTGCTCATGCAAAACTTATACCTAGACCAGGAGATGTGGTTGAACAAAGTAACAGAACACTGTTGTGGTTGTTGTTCGGTGCCATCTAGTTGAGCACAACTCACAATGACCCTGGGAACAGAAGATCTGAACCCTGTTCTATCCTGTGCCATCCTCACACTTCCTGGCACACAAGAGCCTATTGCAACAGTCATCGTATCAGTCAGCCTGGTTGAGGGACTTTGTCTCCTTCGCCAACACTCCAGCCTTCCCAGTATCATGTCCTCTAAGGAATAGCCTCTCCTAGCAACATGCCCAAAGTATGTGAGGCAAAGCACTCTGGCTGCACCCCTTTCTAAGACATTATCTGTTCTCAAATAATTTGCTAAGGATGCAGATTGAATATGTATGAAAAAGTATGCAGCCTTGCATATGTTTGTTAATTTTAAATCTTGCAGTGTTTCCCTAGTGTTGAAAACCCTATGAACACTAAGGGAACACTACATGATTTAAAATTAACAAAGGTTTGCATCAAGGTTGTGTATTTCTCCATACAGATTCAATCTGTATCCTTAGCAAATTGAGTATCTGAACTGTGTGAGGAAGAATCAATAACCCTCTGTATGCAGATGACACAGCCGTACTTACTGAAAGTCAGGACTTTGAAGGACTTGATACAGAAGAACAAAAAATACAGCCTACAGTATAGATTACATCTCAACATCAAGAAGACAAAAGTTCTCACCACTGAACTGGTAGGTAAACTTCATGATATGTGGAGAAAAGCGTGAAACTGTCAACAGCTTCATCTTACTTGGATTCATAATCAGTAGTACCCTTAGTATCAGTGGTCAGGAGGTAGAAGACATACTGCACTGGAAAAGTCTGCAGTCAGGGACCTCTCCAAATTATTGAAGAGCAATGATGTCAGTTTGAAGACTAAGGTACCTGATTCAGGTGATGGTCTTTTCAGTCACTTGCTAAACATCTGAGAGCTGGACAGTGACTAAGAATAACAGAAGAAGAATTGATGCCTTTGAGCTTTGATGTTGGAGAAGAGCACTGAGTGTCCTAGGGTTTCCCAAAAGAGCAAACAAGTATGCCTTGAAGAACGTTGCAGTCAGAGTGCTCTCTAAAAGCAAAGGAGATGTATCTTCATTTCACATACTTTGGGCATGTTGCCAGGAGAGCCTGATTCTTGGAGAGGCCCATCATGCTTCCAAAAGTGAAGGATCGGTGAAAGAAAGAAAGACCCTTAACCAGGTGAACTGACAGTGATTGTAGCAATGGGCCCAAGTGTGTCAGAGATTGTGAGAATGGCATAATATAGGACAGGGTTCATATCTGCTGTTCAAAGGGTGGAAGGGTAGCTGTGGCTTGTGCTGGACTCATTAGCACCTAAGAACAGCAACAAAGTAAATAATGATTCACAAAAGCCAAATTGTTAATTTTTATTTCTGCTTATTGATTTTATTACAGGTGATCCCTTCAAGGATGATCCTTTTGGGAAAATTGGTCAGTATGTTATTGAAGTTCATCTTAGCTTTAGATGAATTCTGCTTAATTATAAACTTATATTGTGGTTAGGAGTATTGAGCTGGGAGTAGCAAGTTGGATAGTTGTAGGAAATAAACTTCCTTTTTTATTCCATTTTGAAACTGATTTAAAGCAGTAGCAGAATGGTATGTGTGCCTATCATTTTCAGAAAGAGAGTGGTAGGCACTTGTGGACTTATATAACAAAAAAGTAAATAACATGGTTTTTTTTTTAAAATAACATGTTTTTTAAAAAAATATTACTGTCATAATCCCACCCTGATGTCAGACCCATTCTACAACAGTGGCACCATGCAGTATTTGTCCCTTTGTGACTGAGGTATTTCACTCAGCATAATGTCCATTATGTATATTGTATTGAAACAGATGAGGGAAAAAACGGATTAGAAGTATTGATTGAGTATTGTGGTTAGCACAGGAATCCAGAATTAAGGTTGCATAGAGAAGTGTACTCGGGGGAATTGTATACTAATGAAGGAATTTTTTTTCTTTTTTTTTTTCTCTCTTCGGAGGGAGAAGCGAGCTGGTGGGGAGGGGTGGGCAGGGAGAAAATTGCGGCAATGAATGAATGGAAATCCAAAACCTCTGTAAAAAAAAAAATAAAAAATTAAAAATTTTTTTAAAAAATTACGTTAGTATTTAGTCTTTAGAGAGTTCTGATGACTTAGTGGTAAACTGTCAATCCTTAGTTGTACTGCCAACCCTAGGCTTGCAATTTAAATCTACTAATCCCTCTATGGGAGTATTAAGATAGGCAGGCTCCTCTTGTGCCATTTACTGCCTCTAAAAAACTGTTCGACGTCAGCTATGAGTCATTTCCAACTTGATAGCACATAACAACAACATTTATTCTTAGATATTTTTAACAGTATTTACACTAACTTTAATTCTTAGATATTTTAACAGTATTTGCACTAACTTTTTTTTTTTTACACTAACTTTGTCCTCAGAAGCTAAGCTTAATCGGCACTAATACAGAATTTGGAACTTAAAATGTTCAAAGCCTATTTGTATAAATCAGGGGGAAAGAAATGTCTTGAAGACTTACTATGATTCAGGCTTTGGGCTGTCTTATATCTTAGAGCATCATATTTTTAACACCATATATCTGTTATTTGAGTATAAATAGTGTCTGATTTTCCTTTCTAAATTTACTTGTAACTCAGTAATATTCATGAACATGCTGAATGAAGCCATATAGATACTATTTACAAATACTAATCTTGGAAGCAGGAGTGGCATCCACTTCCTAAACAACATGCCTCTGGAAACTCTGAACTTTTGATAAATGCCAAAGTTATAAAAGGGCTTCAGGCCTTCTGTTCATGGGGTTGCTATGAGTCATGCTTGACTTGAAGGCATTCAACAACACCACCACCAATAACAAATCAGGATAAATGGACTTTGTAGCAATAAAAAAATTAAATATCACGAAGGAATTTTTAAGATACTCTGTGTAATTTTTCCATTAGAATAAAGCAAATCCGATCACCATTTAGTTTTGCTTCTCAAAGCTATACCGAACTCTTGACTATTAGCTTTAAGCTCTGAGAAAAATATACTTGGAAATTTTGTTAATATTAGTTTCTTTAATTATGACTGTATAAAATAAGAGCTCTTAACAAAACTCAAATCTTTAAAAAATAAAAAAATTTTTGACTGATTAGCTCAATAGATATTAGATGGATTCCCCAAGATTATTGCCCTTAAAACTGTGAATTAAAACCACTCCCAGAGGTGACATTTTAACAAAATAACAGATTAGCTCATATAATAAGCAGTATCACTCATAAGTGTTGTGCTTATTACTGTTCTTTTTCTCCCTCAAAAGTGGATGGCCTTGAGCCTAAGGGCAAAGGTGGAGGTCTGCTCAAGGGTGTGACTTTAAAATCTTGTAGGACCCTTGGGCCTGCAGCTCTCGGGCCAAACTTATTCATTTTAGAAGAATATTCTTTTAAAGACACAGCAACCATTTGTCTATTTACTGTACTGAACAACTTGGAGTTGCTGTGATGCTGAACACTACTCCATACTCATGTCAAATACCGTAATGGTTACACGTATATACAATGGTTGGATGAGTTTCCAGATTGATTCATGTTGGGAAGCAGGAGTGGCATCCACTTCCTAAACTAGATGCTTCTGGAAACTACAGACTCTCTTATACATATACAGAAATGATGATAATTATAGAACAGAGTTCGGGTCTTTTGTGCAAACTTGAGTCTTATTTGACTCAACAATATTTAACCACTGCTAAATGAGACTAGTGCTGTTATATCTGGAGGAACATTCTTCCACTTTGCACATCATTCTTTGTCAACTATGCTGTGTGAGGTAACCTGGGTTTGCTGTGCCTTGTGCCATGAGGTTATCAAATACCATAATGGTTTCCCATTGTGGATAGTGTTTGGTGGAGCTCCCAGTTGTCAAACAGGTTAGGAAGCAGGAATGACATCCATTTCCTAAACCAGATGCCTCTGGAAACTCTGTGAACTTGGAGAAACAACGATAGCTATGGAAAGGCATTAGGCCTTTTGTTAATAGAGTCTCTCACTCTAAGTCGACCTCGACTCTATGGCAATCGACACTAACAACATTTTTTAAAGTTTCTATGATACCAAATGGTCAACATTTACCCTAACTCAAAGTTGAAAAAGGAGGGAAGTGAGGGTGAGGGTTAAAAGGAAATTAGATCAATGGAAATTTAACAGCAGAAATAATGAAATGTTGACACTATGTAGAAAATAGAACCAGTGTTATTGACAGTGCATATAGACATTGTCAAATAAAAAAAACAACTAATTTCCTGTGTAAATTTTACCACAAGCAAAAACAAAATATTTAAAGAAAAAATATAAACAAGGGATCTTTGAATAAGATCACATATGAAACTATATCCTAATTTAAAAATAATTTATTAGGTGAATTAGTCTTTTATCAAAACCTGAAAAACCTGTGATTTCTGAAAGAACAGAAACTATTTCAGCTTCTTCTTCTTCTTGTTGTTGCTTACCATAGAGTCGGAACCAAGCCATAGCTGACCCTTCAGAGGGTTTTCAGAGGCAGTTAATCACACAGGAGGAGATTGCCCATCCTTTCACGGAGCAACTGCTGACCTCAAACCATGAGCCTTCAGGATTGCAGCACAGCTTCTTACCACTAGGATGCCAGAGCTCCCTACAAGTGGCTTAGAGAAATTGATTAAGTCTAGTGTAAAGGAACGAATGTTGAAATTATTGATTTGCTGTGGTGAATGATGAATAGTAGAAAAGAATTTAATTAAGGCTATCTAAGTGCACTGTCTGTGCTTTTTAAAAAAATGAACAATACAAAACACCTAATTTTGATTTCTACGTGAGTTCAAAATTTCTCTCAATTAAGGCAATTATGCCATTAGGTGACAGGACATTTAGGATGATTTTTGTTTTGTTTTGTTTCTTATACTTTTGCCATCTTTCCTTAGACCCATTTGGAGGGGATCCTTTCAAAGGTTCAGATCCGTTTGCCTCTGACTGCTTCTTCAAGCAGTCTGCTACTGATCCTTTTGCTGCTTCAAGTGCTGACCCTTTCAGCGCAGCCAGCAGTAGCAGTAATACATCGGTAAGTGAAAAGTTACCCATTGAATGGGTAGCAAATGTCCTAAGTGAGTTTCTTGAAATATACAATGATTAATGAATCTTCTCTTAGATTATTTCTGCATAATCTTGAATGGAAGGCCATATAAGAATTTCAGTATTACCCCAATTCATCCAGTTTTTGGTTTAAACTTGTATACCACAATTTGACCACCCAGTGGAATTGACTGGGGTAACATGTGGCTTGCAGAAATCAAGTCCAGCTTTTCAAGGAGCCAGTTTTATCCTATTGAAAATACTAACTTACTGAAAAACCATAAACGTAAACTGCCTTTTAAGCTTTTAAAAAGTTTATTGTTAGAATGAAAGTTATTACTATAACATAAAAACAATGTTGATAAAATAATTTGTATTTGTTTACTTACTACAACTAGATTATTAATTATCTGAGAAAAAAACCTGCAGATTTCCACTAAACATTAGGCTGTCTTGAGGCTATCCAGCCTTAACCAGTACTACTTAAAAACCACATGTTGTGATGCAGATTCTTCTGTGCTCTCTGCATGTGTTGTATCTAATCTTCTCGTCAACCTTGCAAAATATGTGCTCATAGATTACCTTAAACATAAGAACACTGGGAATCAGAATATTTAATGTTCCATGCCCATGGTTACATAGTAAGTGCTTTGTCATCTGGAGGCTTAAAAAAAAAAAAAGGCCACCATTTTAACCAACTCTTAGCCTAACTCCATTCTGGCTTTCTGAGGCTATAAATTGCATGGGAGGAGACTGCCCATCTTTTCCCCCATAATACCACTAGTGGATTCAAATGGCAGAGTGATGAGGCCTTTGGGTTAACAGCTCAGTTCCCTACAGACTATGCCACCCGAGCTCTTACAGATTATTGTTTGTATAGAAAGAGTAAGGTGGGCCACATCTGACCTCTAAACTCCGCAAGGCAGAAACAGTCTTCACCCAGAATATTCACAGCAGAGAGATGATTCTGGTGAGGTCAGTCATACCTTTAGCCTCCTTAAACCCTCTACCAATTCTAATACCAGCAGTCCCTCCTGAGCTCTTCCTACTCTATTGGTGGTTCTGCTTATTTATTATAGTGGCCACACAGAACTCACCATACTAATATTTATGGGATTTTTAGGGAAGTTAACAGGTTACAATTTAAGTTGGGGACAGGATACAATTCTTTAGTGTCAAGATATATTCTCAGGTTTAGACCTTTGTTATAAAGTCTGCCAATTATAGCATCTTCCCCTTTCCCGTCAGTCCTCCCAACAAGCTTGGGCAAAGGCCTCTAATTGGTTCCAGTTCCATGCACAATGGTCCCAAGTCCCCTGTGCTGCTCATTGGCCTCTGGTTCTCTGTTGCTACTCTCCTCTAGACCTCATGTCACTAGTGCTGAAATCCCTGGTAAAATGGCTACAAGTTGGACTCTCCACATTTTTCTTGGTAGCAAGAGTCACAGTTTCTGCTGCTTAACCTGCTTCATTTTTTTTGTTCAACAGGCTGACAAAAGTGATCAGATCAGTCCTCTAATTAGTAGCATTATACCTTATTTGCATGTTCATACCCAAAAGATACTATTCACGTCATTAGCACAGTTCTACCACATTAGCATGCTTTTGTTATTATTGCTTGCCATTAAGTTGAGCATGACTCATAGCGACCCTATAAACAAAAGGTCTAAAACCTTTCTATAACTGTCCTTGTTTATCAAAGTTCATAGAGTTTCCAGAGGCATGTTGTTGCCACTTTTGCTTCCAAACATGTAGTGAAAGTCAAAAGCCAAGGACTAGGAAAGCCATTTTGACTACACCAAACAAAGTTTGTTATTACTGTAATTACAGGATATGTACCTCTGATGTCTGTTTACTTTTATGCTCCTACCAGTATTCACGTTTGCCTAGGTCTTTTTGTGCTGTTATACTGAGGGAATTGTAACTAAGGTTATGCAACAATTTATATACTGTGTATGAATGATTCATTTGGAAAAAAAACAACAACCCAGAATGATTTGTAAACTTTCACTCAAAGAAAAAAACAGAAGCAATATGTATACAAATTGCTGAATGAACAATTAATTTACTCTGTAAACTTTCACCCAAATCACTATTTAAAAGATATAAACTGAGAAAATTATAATGAAATATTTTCAGAAATGTTCATATATCCATCTCTTAGCACCCAACTTCAATAATTACAAATGAACTGGGAAAGATTTTGTTTGCTTGTTTTGTGGCAGGGGGACTCTCTCCCGCCAGAGATGGCATATTTCACATCTATAAGTAAACTGAACCCAGAAATGGAGAATTATTTGACACACATGTGATGCAAAAATTTTCCTCTTTCTAAACTCTTGAGTTAAGAATATTTCTTTTAAAAGAGTCATTGGGTCTTTTACATATAATAGATTTTGGTGTTCTTGAATTGCTTTCCTTGCAGTATTCAGTAAAAAACAAATTGGCCAACGACTGGTATTTTCCATTGATGTAAAACTGGGCAAATACCTCTGTAACTGAATATTTGTGGTTCCAGGCTACTGAATACTCTGTTTTCCTACAGCACTCAGTTTTCAGTATGGACCCATTTGCCAAATTCTTCTAAAATTGGCTGAAACCTGAATTATTCCCCTCCCTGCCCCTATTTCTGGCCTCTCATTCTCCATTCCTATTATTTAAAGAAAACCAAAGTAGCTCTTCCTAATTTAAAAATAAACATGTTCCTTCTGCTCTTCTCCCTTGGTGAGGTATTTTTACTGGTTGTCCTACTTTAACTTTTTCTTTTCTCCCTACTTTTAGAAAGCAGTATTGACCTTTTTGACAGTTAAGCAAAACAAAAAGACATCATGAGCAATTTAATAATAGTTATAGTTTAAATGTTCTTTTCTGTGTACCATATAAGGCTAAATCTTTTCATTCATTATCTCATTTAATCCTCACAATAGTTCTGTGAGATGTGTTATTAGCTCCATTCTCAAAATAAACAAACTGAGGCATAGAGAGATTTAGTAAAGCTGCATTTGGACATCTGTCTTACTAAAATCTAAAGTCAGGGAGCTTTGGTGGCCTAGTGGCAAGGAGCTGCAACTACAATCCCAGAGGTGCACGGTTCGAATCCACCAGATGCTCTGCCGGGGAAGGAGGGACAATCTCCTCCTGTACCAATCAGATCTGATTTGACGGTACATTCACACAAAAATAATAAAAAAAAATTAAAAAAAACAACAACAACTAAAGTTAACCTCAGTAGCCTGCAGATCCCCCCCCTTAACTACAGAATCAGTGTTATTTGCAATAGCTGTCTTTTTTTTCTTTAATTGCCTCTGACTCTGTACCCAGGTAAGAAATTCTCCCTAAAAGAATTTTTTGTTCTCCACGGAGCTGATCTTTGTTCATAGGAGGATACAATTAAACAAAAACAATTTTTTAAAAACTTTTGCACATTTTGCTGTTATAATTAGTCTGATAGCGTTGTACAGGTTTTGTGTCATGCTGTCAGAGAGAGAAGTAGATGGCTATTGTAAGTGAAGGAATTTCAGTGACAAATTAGGTAACTGATAGGAGAAATTTTAATTCTACAAAATCATAACACTTGAGTTGTAGTGGTAAGGCCTAATTGTCATAGACTATAACAAAGAACGTTCTTTGCTTACTCCCTCATGGACCATACAGTCCATCCTAGTTACCTTGCTCGTGGTTATACAGGAAATACTGGTGGCCTAGTGGGTAAGGAGTTGTGCTGGCAACTCAAAGGCAGGTGATTCAAATCCATTAGCTGCTTTCCAGGAGAAAGTGAGTAGACTCCTGGACGGTTTACATCCTCAGATAAACATATTGAAAGGTACGCTGTGAGTTTATGGCACCTAATAGCAGCAGTGATTGTAAAGGAAATCTAGTGACATGCAGTGACTCTGAGGGAGAAAGATAGGCAGTCTCCTCCCATTGTGATTGATAGCCCCAAATATCCAATGATGGAGCCCAGTGACAGCAGACATAATGGTGATGAGTTTGAGTGAGTACTTGTACAGTATATAATAATTAGAAAACTGGCACAGAGACAGGCATGCTTCAGCTCTCTCTGAGATGACAAGCCAAATCTGTAAGCTACTGTTGAAAACCAGAGTTGTTAGTTTTTCCTTCCTTAAAAAAAAGTGTATTTATTGCTTTGAATTACAAGTTACTAATAGTGATGATGCAGTGAAACAGAAATGAAGCAAAATTTGTATCTCTGACTGCCTCTCAACACCTGCATTTTTTAGTAACAACAGCAACAACATTAGGGAAGTTAGACCAGCTTGATTTTTTTCTTTTTATATCTTTAATTCTGTGTCTGAAAATGTCATCTGGTGTGCTCATCTTATAATAACAGAATTGGCAATAATGAAAATATCCCCTTTTCTGAAAATTTCATGAGTAGTTTTAATGCATTCTATTTTAAAAGAGAAGATACACTAAATCACAGTTGACACTACTATTCTCAAATATGTTTGTTTTACTTGGAAATTTATAGATTGAGCTTTGGCAGTGTTGTTTGACATTAAAACATAATAGCCAACTTTTTTATAATTGTAGGTAGAGCCTATAAGAGAACATTGATAATCATGAGTCAGAATTGGTGATATAAATAGCACCTAAACTCTGTATGCCTCTTTGACCTAGGTTAATTACCAAGGCTTTCACCTGGCCCCTTTAAAAGTACCTGTTTCCTGAAAAAGAACATTTCTGTATCTTCTTTAATACACAGTTTGTTTTCCGATCATTAAAACCTATAGTATAAAGTAGGAAGGTAATTTAGTATCTGGAATTAAGTCTTTGCCCTGCTTGTTGTCACTCAGCCTTGCGCCTTGATCCCAGACTGACTTATTTTATAAAGCAGCAAGAGCTTCTTAACAAGAAGTTATCTCATCATGTGTATGTTTTTCCTCCCAAGAGTCAAATGCTGAAATTCTTTTTATACAGTAAATTTTTATATTAAGTATTAGAATATACAACAGAATGGTATATATATTCTAAATGCATCACAATATGCTGGAATTAAAAAAGAGAATCAGGAAAATTTGGAGAAGTCCAAATATAGTCTGTAGTTCATCGTTTTGAATCATGTAAATTTCTTGGTCTTTGATAAATATACAATAATAAGATACTAACATTAGAGGGAGCTGAGTGAGTTGTTATGAGAACTCTTGTATTATTTTAATAACTTCTGCAAATCTAAAGTCAAAACAAAAAGTTAAAATAGTGTGTTTATATAACACATGAAGCAAAATTCTGAAGAAATGGAAATAAATACTGCCAACATCAGCAGCTAGATACTACTGCAGAAGAAGGGTGGGGTTGTGATTGGGAAAGGGCAGATGAACACTGCTGAGATGTTGGCAGTTTCCTGGCACATGATAACACAGGTATTTGTTTTGTACACATTTCTGACTGTATGTTCTGTCATAGAGAAAGGGTAGTTGTTGTCTGGGTGCTATTGAGTCAAGCACAACTCATAGCAACCCTGTGAACAAAAGATCTGAACTCTGTTCTATCCCACACCATCCTCATGCTTCCTGGCGCACAAGACCCCATTGCAACCCATGTCATTCCACCTTGCTGAGGGTCTTCTCCTTTACTGACCCTCCTGCCTTCCCAGCATCATGTCTTTCTCCAACGAATAGCCCCTCCTAGCAACATGCCCAAAGTATGTGAGGTGACGCTTCATCATGCTTGCCTCCAAAGAGCACTCTGGCTGCACCCTCCCCAAGACGTATCTGTTTGTTATCTTGGCAGTCTATGGGATGTTCAGTGTTCTTCTCCAACACCACACCTCAAAGGTGTCAGTTCTATTTCTGTCATCCTTGTTTCTAGAGAAGATTAGAAAACATCATATATCATTTCCAGATCAGGGAGTTATTTATTAATGATACTTACGTTCCTTCTTAGAGTTTGTAAAGAGTATTTTTGGAGTTGCAGTGAAATTTCAGCTATGAAAAAGTTGCCTCTTTCAGTTATGCCTTTATGATTTATTTAGATAGAAACATTGAAGCACAATGACCCTTTTGCTCCTGGTGGAACTGTTGTTGTTGCAGCAAGTGACTCAGGTAAAGAAATAATTCATCAATTTCTTTGATTGTTAAACATTGTCCTTTTTCTTGTGCTCCCCCCACCCCTAAATGTGTTTGTCCGGTATGTGGCTTTTAAAGTATTGCATAGTCATATGCACTTGTAATCTACTGAAAATAATAATAGTAAATGTTTTAGTAACTTTTCCTTACTTATTAACTTATTTATTATTCATGTTAAAGATATGCTGGAATTGATACTTCAGTCGGTATTAGTAAATTCAACTCTCGACTCATTGTTAACTTTCCACTGGGTTTTCACGGTTAGCACAACACTCTATGGACTGTTTGCTTTACGACCCCTGGTATATTTTCAGCAAAACAGTAAAACTTTATAGCTATAAAGGGAGCTCTCTTGGTGTAGTCAGTAAGGAATTGTGCTGCTGACTCAAAAGGTGGTACCTTTCAGGCCTTTCAAATTCACCAGCAACTCCAAGGGGGAAAGGTGAGCAGTCTCCTTAAAAAAACAGCTAGAAGGTTAGCTGTGAGTCATTTCCAACTTAACAGTAATGAATTGAGTTAATTTTATTTCATAAATACATTGATTTATAAAAGAATGTACATAACATTCTTTTAGAAGAACCAGACTTAACATGTATACCTCATGTTTTAAATAGAAGTAATATAATACTATCTCAAAAGTTTTTCATGAAGCTTTTAAAGAAGTTAATATTAATAAAATATTAAAAGGTGCCTTGCACAAAGTGCTATTAAAGTGTTGTTTTAAAAGCAAAATTGATTGGGAAACAGTTTTAAGAAGGGCACATTAATAGGGAATGAAGTGAGAAATACTGAGTAAAGAAATAAAAGCATTGTAGCAAAATCTTCACAAATGGTTTGTAAACAAACTGTTCAGAGATAAGAAAGACAATGCTAAACAACTACTTTCTTTTTTTTTATTATTATTATTTTTTGTGTGAGTGTACTGTCAAATCAGATCTGACTGGTACAGTAGGAGATTGTCCCTCCTTCCTCGGCAGAGCATCTGGTGGATTCGAACCATGCGCCTCTGGGATTGTAGTTGCAGCTCCTTGCCACTGGGCCACCAGAGCTCCCCAAACAACTACTTTCTAAACTAATGAGAAGGACATTGTTGATAGATTTTTGCAAAATAATGTTTTGTAGAAGACAGGTGATTCAGACTACACTGCTTAGTTGAAGTATATGAAATGGAAAATGGGTTTCTAGCTTCATACAAATATGTGGTTTGACAAGGAAGACCTATTTTAATAGCCTTTTCTACTCTTTGATGTTATGCCAAAATTCAAATATGCCTTCCTTCAAGTAATAACCTTCCTTCAAAGTTAAATTTCATATAGAATATGAAATTTTATTAACACACATTTCCTGTTCTATTACACTAAAATCCAGTGGTCTGTCTTGCATGTTTGGTGAATGGGTTTTATACCTGTATACGGTTTTATAACTTCATACTTGATCATTTAGAAAATATTGGTGCACTGAGTCATGTAAATTTTTCAAATGCTGATCCATTTTAGTATACAGAATTTATAAATCACATTTGTTAATTTCACTATCCATCACATCAGAAAAAAAAAATCTCTAAGTCTTATTACTGAACTGTGAAGCTCAAAGTGGCAGATACAAGTTTTCCAAAATTAGAGTTTTCAGGTCATAATATGAATTTTATCATTGACAGTAAATACTATCGTTGTTTCCCTTAAAGAATGTTATAAGAGACTAAAGAAATGTTATCAGTCTGTAAAACCCTTCAAAAATGTTTTCATCAACTTGTTCTTTTGAAATTTTTAGTAAATATAGAATACAAGTTCTATTTGGCAGATTTTGTTCTAGGCCTTGATACATGATAGTGAACAAAACAGTTTCTGTCTTTTAGAGTTTATATGGAAAGAGAAGCAGTAAACAAATATGTGACATGCTAGCTACTGATGAGTGCTAGGAGTTAAAGGAAGAAGATCAAGAGTGATAAACCTTAAATGTAGTTTATCTTTTGCATTTCACTAAAAGGCATTATCAAGATCTGAAATATTTGTTTTTGGTTTTTTTATTTTATTTTACTATTTTTGTGTGCGTGTACCGTCAAATCAGATCTGACTGGTACAAGAGGAGATTGCCCCTCCTTCCCCGGCAGAGCATCTGGTGGATTCGAACCATGTACCTCTGGGATTGTAGTTGCAGCTTCTTGCCACTAGGCCACCAGAGCTCCCCAGATCTGAAATATTTAAGGAAAAATATGAAAAGGGATTATGGAGAAGTATGATGGTTTCTTTTTGTATACTTTTTCTTAATTTTCTAGTTTCCAGTACCTATTATGGCAGTGGGTTTATTCCTAGTAGATGGGAGTATGCTAATGAGATCACATGTGCCTTAGAAGCCTAATTCAGCTGACCCATGGCTCACAGCTCCAGTGTGCATCTAGAGGAGGAAGGCTACCTGCAGAGGTCCCCTACAAGTATTTCTGGAACTTTCCAGCAGGTGTCTCCCATGTGATCTGAAAGAGCTCAGTGAGTCCTCCCAGTTTCTGCACAGGCGTCTGTCTGTTCCCTACAGGCATCTGCTTCATAACAACTATGATCACTGAGAATGTTCTTGCCCAAGTCTTAATTTCCCAGTTTGGTCAGAAATATTTTGTTGTTCATCCAAGATACATTCTCTTATTTGGAGCAGTGCTGAATAGATCTTTTATTCTGATGAGTAAGTGTGGAGAAACTCTCTAGCAGGCTACATGTACTTCCTATAGAAATGTCTTTTTTTTCCTTTCTGTTATTTCATAACATCCACCTCACAATATTTCAGTCAGACTTGCCCCCACTAAGTCCTGTTGTCTTATATTTTCAGACTTTTTGTAAAGGCAGTGAAGCAAGGGCACAGAAAACATGAAGCCTATTATTCAGTCCTTCCAGTGAAATGAGCCTGACTTTTTTTCCCTTGTCCTTTTTATAATCAGGAGATCCTCTAAGTCCTGCTCTGGCTGTACCTTAGCTGCTATGGCACCACAAATAGTGGATAGAGGAAGAGAAAGAAGGGAAAGCCTAAAATAGCCCCCTTGATAAAGCTGGCCCCAGACTGTGGGGTTCAGTAGATGTGTATTAATAAAATATCATCTTGTATAACTATGTTGTTGTTGTTATGTGCCGTCGAATCGCCTGCGACTTTCAGCGACCCTATGTACAACAGCCCTAAACTCCGCTCTGTCCTGTGCCAATCGCACTATCTCTGACACTCCCATCCCAATTATCCCAGTCACTGAATCAA